AACTTCTTCCTTCATCACCATAGGCTCTGGCTCAAATGCTATTTCATTAAATTCTTCTGTATCTGCCAATTCCTTCCGGTACAATGACTCAGTATATACCTTCCATCTTCTTTTGATACCTCCTGGATCATTTAACATTCTTCTTTACATACTGTGTTATAATACTTTGTTTTGTCTTCCAGAGATCCCCTTTGAAATCTGTTTAACTCATTAACTTCTTGTTTCTTTTCTTTTTCTTTGACTTCTCCATGTGCTAATGCAATATTCAGAGGCTCTACTGACATCTGTCTAGGTCTTTTCTTCCTCCTCTATCTTTGCAATGATCTCTTGCTTTCTTCATGAATGATACTCCTCTTTTAAAATTTATTTTTACTTTATATAGGTTTGCTTACAAAGTTTGTATGCATTGTATTTCACACTTACCCTCCATTCACATTGTATTTCATAGCCAATGAATGATATTAATGATATCCTCTCAAAGCTAGTCTTCATTCATTAGTGCTTAAGGCCTTAGACCTGCTCCTAAGGTGATATTTACATTCAGGAAGGACAACGACCTGGCCAACTGACTGGAAGAGATCCATATTTGTTCCTATTCCAAAAAAGGATGACGCACAGAGTGTGGAAATTATCAGACAATATCACTGATATCACATGCAAGGAAAATCCTGCTGAAAATTATCCAAAAATGACTGGAGCAGTACACAGACAGAGAACTATCAGAAATTCAAGCCTGGTTTAGAAGAAACCATGGCACCAGAGACATTATCGTCAGTGTCAGATGGATCTTGGCTGAAAGTAAAAAATATCAGAAGACCATCTGTCTGTGTTGCATTAACTATGCAAAGGCATTTGACGGTATGAATCACAACAAATTGTGGCTAACATTGAGAAGAATAGGAATCCCAGAACACTTGATTGTGCTCAAGTCCTGTACTCGGACCAGGAAGCAGTGGTCAGAACAGAGCAAAGGAACACTGTATGGTTCAAAAGCAGGAAGGAAAACATAAGGGATGCATCCTGTCTCCATACCATTTCAATCTATATGTGGAAAGACCATTCATTCAGAAGGCTGGGCTTTATAAGGAGGAATGTGGCATCAGAATTTCAGGAAGACTCATCAACAACTTGAGTTATGCAGATGACACAATCTTGTTTGCTGAAACTGAGAAGGACCTGAAGTGTTTGTTGCAGAGAGTCAAGGACTGTAGTCTGCAGTATGGATTGAAGCTCAACATCAAGAAAATGAAGATTCTCACCACTGGGCCTGTAGCCGTTTGCCAGCTGGGACTTGGAGATGCAGTGCTGCTGAGAAAATAACAGAGACAGACAGATAAAGGGAAATAAAGCAAGGCATTAGGGACCAAGGTAAAACCAGGGCAAACCCCAAGAAAAAAACCAGAGTCTTGTCATTTATTTCTCTCAGTATATAGTGAAAATACAAGCATTCTATTATTACCACATTTCTCACTACACAGCAAGCAGTTATCTCTTTAAAAATTGTTTTCAATATAGTTGGAGCTCCGTAACAATTTGTCCAGAATAACCTAACAAACACACAAGAAACTTATCTCTATTGTCTGCAAGTTCTCAAGGACAGTAACTTCTCGTTAGTTTGTATTTTCTACAAGCTCTCAAGGTCTTTAGTTTCTCATAAACTAAGCTTTCACAGCAGCTCTTCTGAGGTCACAATTGCTCTTCTGGGTCCTATGCAGTCTCATGAATGTACCCCCTTTTTCTTAGAGACACGTCCACATACTTTGTTAAGCAAGCTGCCTGCAGCTAGCTTAGACTTCACACACAGACAGTCCACCAAGGCACTGCTGCCTCGCAGAGGCCCTCACATGGGCCAACTGGCAGCAGCATGATATATAAGAGATTGAGGTTGTTAACAATTTCAGCTTGCTTGGTTTCACAATCAACACTTGTCACCAGCAGTCAAGAAATCAAGACAAATTGTTCTGGAGAAAGCTGCTGTTAGGGAACTCTCAAAGTGCTGAAGAGCAATTATGTCAGTCTGGAGACTATTTAGGCCATGGTCTTTATAATTCTTGTTATGCATCAGAGAGCTGGACAATGATCAAAGATGACAGAAGAATTGATCCATTTGAGTTGTGGTGCTGGAGAAGAGTAGTGAACATACCATGGACTGCCAAGAGAACCAACAGGTTTATCTTAGAGAGAATGAAACCAGGCTGTTCCCTGGAGAAAAGAATTCTGAAGCTCTGTATCACATGCTTTAGGCATGAGGCCAGTAAGGACCAGTCCCTGGAGAAGGACATCATGTTTGGAAGGGTAGAGGAACAGAGCAGGAGAGGAAGACCCTGGAAGAGGTGGGTTGACACATTAATTGGGGTAATGGGGATAGGTGTGTCTGAGACAGTGAAACTGGCTCAGAATCTAGCAGAGTTCAGGATTGCTACGAGTTGTAGGCAAATCAATAGTACATAACAACAAACAATATTCTAGCATTTTGCTTCTTAGATGACAGATTTCTGCTTGGAGGGGATGAATACTATAGCCACAAGCTGGCTGCTGGTTTGTGTTCAAAGGAATTTAAGGCATCAGGTGGTGATTATCAGATGCATGATCTACCCCTGGACCAAGGCAGCTCTGCAGCGCAGCACGAGTGCACTGAGCCACCAGGGGGCAGCAGAGATCACAGGCACAGACACTGCCACAGGGGACCCTGGACAGCAGTTGGGCCATTTCCCAGGAATCCCAATCTGCAATCCTCCCTGTGACCCCAAACCTGTAAGAAAGGTGTTCTCACTGGAATGCGTCTCTTGCCACCAACTTTGTGTGTGTCAGAACTAACTCTCAGAGGGAATACCTTCCTCTGATCCTAGATCCAAGGTTGATTCATCGTATCAGCCTAGTTCAGACATGTAACTCTGTCATGAACCCAAAGACTGTCTCCTTGGGACATATGACCCTCTCCCACTTCTACCTACTGAGGAACAGTGAGTCTGGTTACACAACTCCTTTCCATGATCTGTAGAAGCTTCTCCCACATATGCATCCATGGTTTAAAAAGCTGCTTTATACAGGTGCAGGGGACTCATTTCAGTCCTGTGGTTCCAGTGCCTGGGCACATATTCTGTTCTCACTAATTTCTATAGCTTCATTCATTGCAATTGTGATGTCATTCTTCTCCCAGCACCTGAAGGCATCTCACTTACAACACAATCACAGGAGGTGACTGAAGTCAGCAGTCATCTTTCATCATCTCAGCCTGTCTTTCAGCTCATCATCCTTCCCTAGCCCTGACTGTACCCTGAAGACAACAGAGAAAATCACTTGTCACTGTCTAAATGCTCAGGCAGGGACAGAGACTGATAGGTAATGATTTGCCTTCCTCAGGAGCATCGGTGGCTCTGCTTTCTAGGCTGTGATGTTGATAAGAATTGGCACCTCTCTGAGCTCCAGGTCTCACCTATGGGGCAGGGTGAGGATGGATGCAGTGAGTCCTTGAATGTCAGGAGTGATGTCACAGTGAAAGACACTAAGTGTGAAGCCAGGCAGAACTAATTCTATCATCTGAGTCCTAAAGGTTCGAAGACAGAACACACTGGTCCTTAATGAGGATGAACTTTCTTCCTCCCTGCAGACTCAGAATGGGTAAAGTAAGAGACTAGAGGTTCAGAACAACCCCAACATCCACACGATGACTTTCTGCTCCTTCCAGGACAGGCTCCAGTGTCACCTTGTGGTCACAGACATCTGAGTCTTCTATAGTAAGAAGAGATGTCACCTCTCTTTAGCAGACAACCTAGTGTAGCAAGTCTATAGATCAAGCATTAGATAAACCGTTCTGTTCTGACAGCCATTTTAAGAAATGTGTACCTCAATAATTTTAGCAATAACATATTTTGCTGAATTTTTGTGTTTTAGTATAAGCTGATCCATCTTGATTACTACTCCCTGACTACTTCCCATACCTTGCTCAGGGCCTGAACATCCATGAGAGGTCAGAAACAATTACAACTTCTAAACATGAATAAATCCCAACTCTCAATGACAAAGAAATCTGTGTAATCCTCATTCCCAAACTCTATATATAAACTCAATCTTTACTTCCCCTTGGAGTTGGAACAGTTTGAATTTAGCAATAGCCAACATTCTGGACCTGTACTCAATAAAGCTTTGTTAACCCCTAAAATTTGGCTGTTTAGAATCTTGCATTTTCTGCCATAACACTAAAAGTTAGCTCTTGACATGGTGTGGATGTGGAGAAGTTGGTTCAAAGTTGTGAGCTTGGCATGAGGGAGGTCCCAGGATTGGGGGTGACATATGGGGTCCACTCTCCCTCTCTGGGTCCTCAGGAATGAAGCTTCTCTGTGGTCACACAGCCACTCCAGGCAGCCCTGTGCTCTGTTGATTTGCATAACTGAAGCAACAAGATAACAGAATGTAGGGGAGACCATAAATAGTATCCTCTCCAAAGCAGGTCTCTGAACAGCATCATCATGAACTGGACCCCTCTCTTCTTTGCTCTCCTCGCTCACTTGCACAGGTGCTGACCTCATTTGTCCCCTTTTGCAGCCCTGGTGCCCTAGACTGGCCTGTTCTGACGATAAGTTCAGAGGCCCATCTTGTAGGGTGCAGCTGCCCTCATGGAGCTGGAGTGCTGGGGACACCACTTTTGCCCAGTGGAGGGCTGTCCTTCCAAGGGTTTCCTCCTCCAGGAAAGCCTCTGGACTCTCTGGTGGGGAAGAAGGGAGAGAACCCTGTGGGTTCACAGATTCCCTGAGTTCAAGGAAGGAGGGATTCATGGGGTTGAGCCCCTCAGCTATAACCCTAACTCTCCTGACTCTCTTGCAGGCCCTGCAGCCTCCTGTGAGCTGACTCAGGCACCCTCGCTGTCAGTGGGCCTGGAACAGACAGCCTGCATCACCTGTGGGGAAAACAACATTGGAGATAAATATACTTACTGGTACCAGTAGAAGTCAGATCAGGTGCCTATACTGGTCATCTACAAGGATGACAAGCGGCCTTCAGGGATCCCTGACCGGATCTCTGGCTCCAATTCAGGGAACACGGCCACCCTGACCATCAGCAGGTTCAGGCTGAGGATGAAGCCGACTATTACTGTCAGGTTTCAGACCGTGATGTTGCTCACAGTGACACAGACATGTGGGGAAGAGAGACAACAACCTGTCCTCTATGCCTGCCTCACCTAGTCTCTAACCAAGTTCACACAGACCTTCATCCTGCAGTAGAACTTTCTAGTCTTACCTTAGTTTTGATCTCCTAATTTATGGAAAAAATTTCCTCCAGCTTTAGGCTACAGCATATTCAAAAGTCAATGGAGCAGGTCTTTCCATCACCTCCAGCTCCCTAAAGGCCTCAGACTCCACCAAACTCAATGTTACTTCCAACTCATAGCAACGCTGTGGGACAGAATGAACTGCCTCGTGAGGTTTCCAGTACTATCAGTCTTTACAGAAATACACTCCACCATCTTGCCTGATGGGAGCGTAAAATGACTTAAAACTATTAACCCTTCCTTCACAGTTGAATGTTTTAACCACTGTGTCACCAGGGCTTCTCTATCATTCAGCTCTCAGATGCTTAGTAAGTGATCAGAAAGACCATTGCCTGAATCAGATGCATCTTAATCCTCACACTGACATCATTACGCCTCAATAATTTGGAGATGTTCGTAATTGCAGACCAATGCAATATGTCTCCTTATTTCCTGCCTGCTGGTACCAAGGGTTTAGGGAGTGCTCTTTGCAAGCAAGGATGATGAGGCTTCACCTAACATACATTAGGTATGTTGCTAGGAGGAGTTATTCCTTGAAGAGGGACACGATACTTGGAAGGGTGGAGAGTCAGCAAAGGAGAGGAAAATCCTCAACCAGGTGGATTGATACTGTGACTGCTGCAATGTCCTCTACTGTGTCAGGAAATGTGAAGAGAGCACAGGAAATGATGGGGTTCAGATCTGCTGTTCATAGAATCATTATGAGTTGTATTCAACTCAACCACACCTAACAACAACTATATCTAAGAAAAAGAGTTCTTTTGTGTGTTTTTTCCTTTTTCTGTGATCCAGAAGATAAATAAGTATTACAGCTATTCCCAAAGCTCTTCTATTATCTATGTAGTTTTCAAAGACCTGCTAGGGCAGAAATGGATGGCCAGACCTGCTTCTTAAAGAACAAAGATGTCAATTTAAAGACTAAGGTGTGCCTGATGCAAGTTATCATATTTTAAATTGTTTCCTATGAATCAATAGGGAACTTAGATGAGCTAGTGCTAAGAAGCTGAGCTGCAATTCCAAAGGGTTATGGTTCAAATTCACCAGTTGCTTTCCACGAGAGAAAGACGGTCAATCTCCTCCCATGTGATTAACTGCCTCCAAAAACCCACCAGAGGGTCAGCTATAGGTTGGTTCTGACTCAGTCGTACACAGTAATAGTAACAACATGTATCTGAAAGCCGGACAGTAAATAAGGAAGTATGAAAAATAAGAACCAATGGCTTTGAATTGTCGTGTTGGAGAAGAGTATTGAATATTCCATGGACTGTCCAAAGAACAAACACATTTTCCTTTGAGGAAGTACAACCAGAGTGCACCTTAAAGACTAGGATGATATAAATGGTCTCATATAACTGTGAGTGTGTTGTCAACAAGAGCCAGTTCTTTTTTTTTATTAAATTTTATTAGTTTTAATGAACATTTACAGGGATTTTGGGTTTTCATTCCTTCATTGCTGCACCATTCTCTCTACCCTCCTCCCCAGTTTGTTCTTCTTCCCCCACCATCCGAATGTCTGTTATAATTGTCCAAT